GCTTAATGAGAGCAAACAGATCAGGAGACATTTTGAATAGTTTTGAGAAGTAGATGAGGATAGTATTCAGACCTGTAATTCAAGCTGTTATTGCATAGATTGCAAAGGATTGGTTGACTCCTGGGTGCTCTGTTAGGTGGTTCAGTCTTCCTTTGTTCAGAACTGTGGAAAAAAAAATACAAATAGTAATGTTAGCACTCTCTTGAAAAGAGAGGGCTTTGGGAGGGATTGTCTCAGTATTCTCAGTCTCAGGTCTTCATTTAGGTACCGTGGCTTTCCCTAACTCTGTGGAAGTCAATAAGGTTTATACCAGAGCCTGGGAACTCTATAAATTAAATATTAGGAGCAGTGTTTGAAGTTTAAAGCCCTCCCTCCTCCTGCGAGCTCAGACTTTCTGCTGCTGTGCTTTTTTCTTTATGCCTGAGCACCTTGCTGACAAGTGCTAATAACAAAATGCCAAGAGAGGGTCCAGTTGGAGTTACCACACATTAAACATTCTGAACTTGTCCTTTTGCTCATAGATTGTGCATAATTAATAATTAAACGGTTTCAGTTGTAATGGGTTGACCTTCTTGAACTGTTCATTATTCACAAGGCAAAGGCATCACTCAAACTTTTTTTCCCATTGCCCTTCCCCGTTCTCACTGTGTGCACAATTTGGCTGGTGGTGAGGAATCAGGGGCTGAGCTCATCTCCTGCAGCAGATCCCAGTCCCAGAAAGGGTGTTTGGATGCTTAGGGAAATAGCCAATCTTGGGAATAAGCTGCCTGGGGATGTAAGAGGCCAGTGGTACATCTACCCTTAGAGCCATTTGTGGGTTTTCTGCCATTTTAGCACATCCCAAATATTTAGGTCTTCATGGTACTGGTTGAAAGACAACAGTATTTACAAAAAATGAAAGAACCATTTCCCAGTTTAAAATGTGTATCCCTATTCCTCACCCCTTTAAAATCTTGGGTTTCTATGAGTTTTTGCCTCTGCAGCATGATGTCAGCATGCAGGTGGATAAACTAAGGCAGCCCATCAGTGCAGCTGGACTGGTCCCTCTGCTGACATCAAATGTGGCTCTGTTGCATCACAAATGGCATAGACTTGGTAGAGACATGTGTGGCTTTGCTTTATTTCCTCATATTCCCTTCACTCTGAGTGGCAGCCAAGGTCCAGGGAACTTCAGGATACAATAAAGGATTTATTTACTTTGTGTGGTTTCAAAAATTCATGCTTTTATCCAACAATGATGTGATTGCTCAGGTTACAGAGGTGGCAATAGCAGCACTTTGTCTCATTAGAAACAGCTCTAAGTACAAAACACTCCCACCTTTTAAGTAGAAAGGGTTTTGCATAGAATAATATGAGAGGCCTTGAGCACAAGTGTGGTGAGGAGCAGCTGAGGGACCTGGGGGTGCTGAGCCTGGGGCAAAGGAGGCTCAGGGGAGACCTTCTGGCTCTGCCCAGCTCCTGACAGGAGCCTCTGGAGCCAGGGGGGGGTTGGTCTCCCAAGGGAGAAAGTGACAGGGCAAGAGGAAACAGCCTCGGGTTGTGCCAGAGGAGGTTGAGGTTGGACCTGAGGAACAATTTCTTCCTAGTGAGGGTTGCCCAGGGCTGTGCCAGGCTGCCCAGGGCAGTGGTGGAGTCCCCACCCCTGGAGGGGTTTCCAAGCCGTGGAGATGTGGTGTGAGGGACACGGGGCAGTGGGGACCTGGCAGTGCTGGGGGGACGGTTGGACTCCAGGATCTGAAAGGTCCCTTCTGACCAAAGCAGAAATAGAAGTATCATGGTCATTGTTTCCCAGGGCAGATACTGAATGGAGATTTTCTAAGGTAAAATGCAACATTTGAGGCACTCTTTTGGTGCCCACTTTTGGAAGCAGTTGAGTGTCTGTAATCTACTGGTTCAGCTACAACCAAAAGCTGCCTCCTCATCCCCGATCTCACCTACTCTGTAAAATAACAACTGGCTGCTATGTACAGAGGTGAGATTAAATTTTTTATCTGCACTGTTGCTTTTTCCCTTTAAACACACTTGCTTGCAAATATATCCTTGAGATTGGCTCACTCCCCCAAAAGGCTTCCGATTTGCAAGGCAAGTAGACAGTAAATTTGTGGGTCACCCAGTCTAAAGTCCTTGAGAAGACTCTGTTGAAGCATCTAGTTTTCATTTGGAGATCCAGTTGGTGTTCACCTCTACCCACCCACCCAATCTCTTCATGACCAAACCAACCAAGGTATGGCCATGACTGAGAGGTCTACAGCAGAAGAGAGTGGCCCTGGATGGGGATGAAATTGTAGAGAAAGATGTGCCCCCAAAAATAGCATTTACATTTACTTCCAAGTGAAATTTTCTTTCCTGCTTATGCAGGAGCACCTTGTGTCCTGGCTGTACTGCAGTGCAGGAGCTGCATGGTCAAGGTGTCAGTGCTGAGGTTGAAGCACCTTCTTCCCTTGCCTGCATGAGTCCTGATGCCAGCTTAGCTTGGGCTCAGCCAAAGTGAAACACTGGTGGCTTCAGAGCAGTTCATCAGTTTCTCCTCCCCTCTCAGAATGCAGTTTCACATTGTTATGGCTCCATCATCTTTGTGATTGCAGAAATTATCACCTACCAAATTAGTGTGAAGTGCTGATTGCAGGTCCCTGTCCCCAGCATGGACCTCTCTGAGCTGGCAGCCCCGTTCCAGGGACCATTGGAACAGGCTCCTCACTGGCATTTCACTACAATAAGCAGCAGGGGTAGATTGCTGGGCAGAGCCAGTTCCCCAGCAACTGGGCTCCAGTTGCTTCATCTCGTTGTTTTCAACATGATCTGTGATATGTGCCCAGGGTGTTTGTGGACTCATAGAATCCCAGGTTGGAAGGGACGTCAAGGATCATCTGGCCCAACCTCTTGTGGCAAAAGCCCAGTCTGGACAAGGTGGTTCAGCTGAATCTTGAGTGTCCAGTGTTGGGCACTCCACCACTGCCCTGGGGAGATTATTCCAGTGGTCGATTTGTTCTCCTTGTGAAGAATTCCCCTCTTGTTTCCAACCAGAATCTCCCCAGGAGTAACTTGTCCCCATCACCTCTCTCCTTTTCCATGTGATTCCTCTTAAAAAGGGAGTCTCCATCCTCTTTGAAGCCACCTTTTAAATACTAGAACATGGGGACAAGTTCATTTTCTACCTGTTCTGCTTTGAGTCAGCCCCACCTGGGAAAGAGGCTTTTGCCACTTGAGCTGCAAGCCCAGGAAGGATCTGCTGGGCAGGAGAAGGGTGGGGAGAGACAGGACCTGCTGGGCTCCACGCAGGACAGACAAGGCTGACGTTTCCCTCTGCATTTTCTGTATTAATAGGAATCATTTTCATGTGCAGTTGTTGGAAGTGGAGCGAGTTTAATTGCACTGCTTATTTCCTGGTGTTCCTTCCACTCTCCAGTGGAAACCTTCCTATATTGCTGTCATTTATAAGTTTAGAAACAATAACCTCTCCCTCACCCGCCCTGAGTTCAAAGAGAATTTGGGCATGTTCTATCCAACGCTCCTTGTATTTAATAGAAGTCTTTGAAAATTGCCAAGCAATTTTGGCTTCTCCTTTTACTCTTCAGTTACTTTTGATTTAATTGTATTTTCCAGCAGTTTCCAATTGTTTGAATCGGAAACAAAGCCTTAATAAGAGTTCTAGTTAATTTTCTGTCTTGTAATTACCGATCTCATTTTTCTGATAATTGGCCACAGCAATTATATGTATATTTACTAATCACACAGGAGGCTCGGCGGTTGTGTCTATCTGCCACCATTGATAATGGCACACACATTGCAGAGGTGCTTTTATCATCTTCTTTTTTCCACTACATCAAAGCTATTTCCTCGTGTTCTCAATAATGAATACATGCATGCATTTGACACAGTTGTGTGCTAGAGAAATTGTTTGGCTCCCACCAAATGCTGCACGCTCTGAGTTTCTTGCCTGCAGCGCTGGAAGGTTGTATGTAATGATATATTGCTCATCCAAATGGCCAAAGCACTCCAAAGCACAGTGAGATTAAAATAAGTCATTCCTTTGTTAATTTAAATAGGTGCATGTATCATACTTTGCAGGGTACTTTGTGTAGGGATGTCAGGGAGGAAAAAAGCCGCCGAAAGGTATTTTTAATAGCAAATGAGAATAGATGAGAATGGAGTCATTTGCAGCTGCCTGTTTTATGTGGCTCTCTTGTTCCAACTGTAGGTCTAATGAGATGACACTGTTAAAGTACTCTGCAGTGTAATTTCATTACATCCTGAGCTGTTACACTATAAACACAGTGGAGCTCTCTGTCATTCTTGGAAAAACTCCTAAATTCGTAAAGCCCTTTTTTTTTTTTGCAAATGGTGATGTTGTTTGTTCCCTGTTTGGAATTTTTTTTTTCTTCTTGTGCTTTTTTTTTTGTTTTGTTTTGGTTTTCTTCTTTCATAAATACCGGGTGCTTGTTTTCTACCACTAGAAGGGTAAATCCTGCCTTTTTTTTTCCCCTTAAAAAATTCTCTCGCTTATTAAATCTAGAACAGACAGCACGAGGACAGGCTCTAAAATGAATAAGTGTAAATAAACATGAGTGTAAATAAATAGCAAATGCAGTGAAAGAAACAAAGGTCAACACAAGAATAATTTCACAGCTCTTTGTTAATTACAAGACCATTTGTGTGTTACTTAAATAATCATTAATTTCTCATTTA